ACTGACACACGTCCTGCTGAGCTTCTCCTCCTCACTCTCTCTTCCTCTGTCACATGCCCAGGTGTTTACTTCGACCCCAACTGTAACAAAGAAGACATCAATCATGCTGTGCTGGCAGTGGGCTATGGAGTGACCCCCAAAGGGAAGAAGTACTGGATCATCAAGAACAGGTGGGACACATCACCTGTCTGAAGGGCATCAGGTGGCTCATAAGGCTGCCAAAATGAAACAACAGGTTGTTTGTTGTTGTAACGCCGGTTTGATGTGTCTGCCAGCTGTGTTGATGACAAACTGATGACATGAGAGGCTGTTTGACTCCTGGCGATGCTCAACATTGCTCATATTTCTTTCTTTCCATCTCTGTTGCCGTCTTTTGTTTTGTTCTGATAGCTGGGGCAAGAGCTGGGGCAAGAATGGTTACATCCTGATGGGACGAAACCGTCGCAACCTCTGCTGGATCGCCAGTCTGGCCAGTTACCCCATCATGTGAGGGGACCAAGGTGGAACTGAGAGAAAAACAAGGGACAACAAAGGGGTTTTACTTTGACTACTACGCACAAAACCTACCCTTAAAAATGTACAGAATTTATTTCAAAACTAAAGCAACAAAAAAAAACGTGTTTATGCTTTTTCTCCCCCAACAACACCCATATTTTTGAATTACTGTACATTCATTCATTCATTCATTTTCTACCGCTTAATCCCTTAACGGGGTCACGGGTGGGGGGGCTGGAGCCAATCCCAGCTGGCAATTGGGTGAAGGCGGGGTACACCCTGGACAGGTCACCAATCCATCGCAGGGCTAACACAGAGACGAACAACCACACACACGCACTCCTATGGGCAATTTTAGAGACACCAATCAACCTTAGCTGCATGTCTTTGGACTGTGGGAGGAAGCCGGAGTACCCGGAGAGAACCCACGCAAGCACGGGGAGAACATGCAAACTCCACACAGAAAGGTCCCGGGTGGGCCCAAACCCAGAACCTTCGCGCTGTGAGGCAACGGTACTAACCACTGCGCCACCGTGCTGCCCAATTACTGTTCAATAAAAACTAATTCAAATTGAATTTTTCTGGAATGAAAAGACTCTGGAATGTTATAGACTCTCAGACTGAGGCTCCCTAAAAAGTCTGATGAGGATGTTATTTGAAGCACTTTGAACCCCTGAAGTCTTTTCACTTTTATTCTCAAATCTCAGTGATGGTCAGCTCCATAAAGAACCACATACAGCTTTAGGCACCCCCAGGCCATGGTGTTAGGAACCTTGAGCCACAACACTGATTGGTTTTGTGCAACATCCATCCATTTTCTATACCGCTCATTCCCAAACGGGGTCACGGGGGGCTGGAGCCAATCCCAGCCAGCTGCTGGCAAAACGCAGGGTACACTCTGGACAGGTAACCAGAGCATCACACACACACAATCACTCCTACAGGCAATTTAGAGACACCAATCAATCTATGCTGCATGTTTTTAGATTGTGGGAGGAAGCCGGGGTACCCGGAAAAAACCCGGGCAACAACAAGCAAACTCCGCACAGAAAGGCCCCGGGTCGGCCAGGGAGTGAACCCAGAACCTTCTCGCTGGGAGGCAACAGTGCTAACCACCGCACCGCCCTTTGTGCAATGCGCCAATTTTAATCTACAGACCCACCAGGCACAACCAACATTTTACTGTGTTTGGCTGGTAGTCTGAGATAGTTCCATTCTCTAGTTTTAATTACAGTTTGTGTGGAAGCTGTCAGTGGAGGCTGATCCTTTTAGTATTTTTAGTCATACAGACATTGGTTACGTACTTTATGTATTAGAAATGTTTAGTGGAGTCAGGATGTCTAGTTAGGTTGTTAAATGCTTAGTCATTGTCATGAGTTTTGGCAGGGTGCATATGGTCAAAGATAACTAGATAGAAAAGTTTGACTGTCAGCAGACAGGATGTTTAATATTATTATTATGACGTGTATAACTGTAGCCTTAGCCATAATATGTTCTCATGTTTAATGTCATGACATGTTACTAGAGGTCATGTGAGAATGTTTTTAGCTACACACCACTTAATCAACAGACACACACACATTGATTTGCTTCATGTTTTGACTACTGCTATGTCCAGCTGCAAAGCTGGCACTAGGGACACGTCACGGTTGACGTTTCTGTGTAGTATGGGGCTA